ATCGGAGAGAGAGGCTATCGGTGGTGGTAAACATTGATAGTATGGTAGACGATGAAGCATCGGTAGATGTGGGTGACCGAGAGAGAGAGAGAGAAAAAAAAAAGAACGAATGCCAGTGGATATGGTGACGATGCTAGAGATACAGTAAAAGGGGGACCAAAGTTAGACCTTGAAGAGAGAGAGAGAGAGAGAGAGAGAGAGAGAGAGAGAAGGAACTATTGGTGAAAAATTAGAGAAAAAAATTAAAATTTCTAAGATTAAAAGGGCATTTTTATCCATGTATGTCAAAATTTGTTATTATCCTGCTAAAATTTTAAATTTTAGGGACTTTAGCTACCAAACTAATTTTTATTGCCCTTTAAACACTTGCACAAACATATATGGAGGACCTCTCCCTAATTTTCTTATTATATATATAACAAATTAAATTATAAATTAATCTAAATGCCTTAATTTATATAATAAAATTAAATTATTGAACGTTTAATCAAATTTTTAATCTTTAACTTAATTTTTTATTTATTAACATTTTAAAATAAACATAAACATGCATATATGTACATATATGTAACAAATTAAATCATAAATTAAATTGAACATCCTAATTTATTACCATAAAATTACTTTATTTAATAAAATTTTAAATTAAACATATACATGCATATATATATAACAAATTAAATCACAAATTAACCTAAATAACTTAATTTATTACCTTAATTTAATTTGTAATTTTTATCGAATTTATTATTTAATAATATTTTAAATTAAACATGTACATATATATCTTTAAAAATTTTAAATAAAAAATTTAATTACAGTGTATTTATATACCCAGGATTGAGTGTGTATATATATATATATAATATTATATGTATGTACAGGATATATATACATGTATATCATAATATCTAATTAAAATTAAAATTAGGCTTGTTAAAAAATTATTTAGAAAACTCTATTTTCTTAAATGATTTTTGTGTTATGTTTTTAATATTTTTTTTCACTTAGTTAGGAGGTAAATTTATTCATTTATTTACAAAGGGAGTAAAAAATAGAAGACATAAAGCCTATTTTTTATTGCTAACATTAACGGATTTAATATTTCATTTTAGTTAAAAATCACATGGGGATATATGGTTATTTTTTAAAAGACAGGAAGTTAAAGTGAGAAACTTCTATTTCTACGCATCATTTCCATTTTGTCCACATATTTCTCAATTCACACTTAAAAAATAACGTTCGGTAACCATTTTGTTTTCAGTTTTCAATTTATATTTATAAAAATTTTAAAAATTGTCATAAAAACTTATTTGATAACTTTTTTGGTTTATTTTTTATTTATTTATTTATTTTTTTGGTACATCTGAAATGAAAACCAAAACAAACAGACAAAACAAACAAACAAAAAAGAGAGCTAAGAGTCCCAGAACGATGTCTAAGATAACTCTGACCAACCATATCTGCAACTAATTTTTTTTTTTTGATCGGCAAAATAAAACTTTATTGATGAACAAACAAGTACAATGAAACAAGTTAAATACATCAATAAAGGGCATGGGAGTGCAACGCATCACAATGAGCAAATTGATCCCAACTAGGTTGGCACCAAAGAGATCATCCTATCATTTGCTAGCACCCCAAAGTTGGAGAGGGACCAACGAAAAGAAAAAACACAAAACCAAGGGCATGGGAGAACAACCCAACCATAAGGTAATCAGGCAACTCTAAAAGGGACTAACTATCTGAGTGTGTTGCTATAAGAAAGCCAAAGAGATCAACAGCAGCCTTGTGAAGACCAAATAGATACTCTGACCCCATGAGAAGATATAACATACACTACTCCAAGACTTAGCATACATAGCAGACCCCACCAGACGTGATTAACAGCAGCAAAACAGTGGCAGTCCTCTACAACCCCAGACAGAACTAGACTCCATTTGACAGTAGCACAGAACTAGATTATCCATTTGACGCATTGCCTGTGAACTACATTCCTTGAATTCCCAAGAACAATACTGCAGCCTTGTTAAGACATGCACACAGCAGCACAAAACTAGTTTATCCATTTGACAGTAGCACCCAAGCATTGAACCTGCATTGCCTTTGAACTACACTCCGTGAATTCCAGGAACAATACTGCAGCCCTTTAGACATTCTAAAAACTCAGTAAAATCAGTCACCTTAACATATCAGAAGCCTTCCATAATTAGCAAGCTAACACTCACTCACAACAGCAGCCTTGTTCTGAAGCCTTCCACAATTAGCAAGCTAACACTCACACACAACAGCAGCCTTGTTCTGTCCAGCAGAGCAGATCAGAAGACTACAAACTGTCTGCAAGCTAACAAACTCCACAGGACATCCATAAAAGACCCAGTTTTCAGCACAAGCAGCTCAGAACAGTTAAGACCATCCTCTGATTTGACGCCAATTGAGGATTAAATCATCAACGGAATAAGGAAGATCTTTAATTGATGCTTTCAGCCAAAGTATTGCTCTAAGCTTGATATTTTCACTAAAGCCAGAGAGACTAGGTTGAGCCTCTGCAAAGACACATTCATTCCTAAGTTTCCAAATTTTCAATTTATATTTATAAAAATTTTAAAAATTGTCATAAAAACTTATTTGATAACTTTTTTGGTTTATTTTTTATTTATTTATTTATTTTTTTGGTACATCCGAAATGAAAACCAAAACAAACAGACAAAACAAACAAACAAACAAAAAAGAGAGCTAAGAGTCCCAGAACGATGTCTAAGATAACTCTGACCAACCATATCTGCAACTAATTGACCTCGTATTTCTTCAGGAGGATCATCCATCACAACCAGCACTTCATTTTGATTTGTCCGCATTTTAGCAAGACCATCAGCACTCATATATGCCCTCCCTCTTGACATGTTGAATCGAAAAGCTACATCTTCGAATGAGAAACTTGGAATCCTCCACTAAACTTCTCAGAGGAGAAAAAAACCTCAACGTTTCCCTTTAGCATATCAATAGCATATTGGGAATTTGACTCAATGTTAAGATCTTTATAGCCTTCCTCGAAGGCTATCGTCAAACCCTGTATAGAGCCCAAATCTCCGCTTCAATGCAGGTACAATTTGTGAGCTTTCCAAAATAACCACAAAGCCACAGATAACTTTCCCTTTAGTATATCAGATAACTTTTTTGGTTTATAAATGGTTGTCTCAGTTTGTAAATTTGAGAAAAAAATGTAAATTCAAAAAATGAGTTTACGTTAATTTTTAAACAGACATTTAAATTTGACTAACAAATTTTTTTTTCAAATAATTTTTTTTCCAATTAATTTTTTTTTTCAATTAATTTTTTTAATTATTTTTTTTTTCAATTATAATGTGTATGATCCCATTGTCGCAAATAATAAAAAATAAATATAAATATTTTAGGGCTGAATAAACATATTTTTTAGTTTATGTTTTTAAAATTTTTCAAATATTTTGTTCAAACCAAACACGTTTGTAGTTTATGTTTTTCTAAAAATAAACAAAAACCAGTTTATAAAATTTTTGTAAACATAAACCAAAAACCTAATACCAAATGCTACCGTAGTATATGCTCACTCCACCCACTTTTTATTCCAAATATATCCTAACAAATAAAAATTATTCAAAACACACCCAAATCTATACACACAAACCTAAACTTAAACATCCATTGAAAAAAGTTGAACCACCATTTTCAAATAAAAAAAATCGTAGTTCAATCTACTACTCAAGTAGTACTACCGAGTCAAAACTAAAAAATAAAAATAAAAATTACAATACCTAACTATATTGGCTATGGCGATGATATTTTACATCGCCTAGTTGCGGGGATCAATCTATGAAGGTGAAGATATTTTTAGCAAATTTTTCTTATTTAATTGCTCCCTTACCTAAAAAATAAATAAATAAATAGAAATTGTCAAATCTGTGTACACATCCAAATTTAAACGTCGATTGAAAAACTTGGATCATCATTTTCAATACATAAGACTCAAACAATAAAGAAAAAAAAAAAAAAAGGCTGACAATGCCCAAAACAATAATAAAAGGTGAGTTCGGAAATTTAGAATCAAAATTATAAAAAAAAGTTTGAAACTAAAGTATCGGGAAATAAAAATTTGTTTGGAACTTGATAGTTGAAAAAAAAGAAGAAGATGTTTTCAGAAGAAAAAAGAAAATTTTGTTCCTTACTTGGTTGTTGCAAAAAAATTCTTCACAACTTAGTTTCCGAAAAGAAAATTTAGCTCAAAACTTGGTTTCTGAAAAACTTTAAGGCTTTTTGTTACTCTGATTTTGCAAATGATGCTGGGAAAAATAAAAAAAAAGGACGATTTTAATATTCAAACTCACATTGTTATTGATTTTTTTGTCATAAATGACGATATCATTCTCAAAATTGAAACTTTCATTAAGCAAATCTTCAAACTAAATAATAATGGTGATATGTAAAGGAGGAGGAAGAATATAATCTAAAGTAATGAGAGGGTTTGATAATGGATTGGAAAAGATGAGCACCTTTGGAAGGTGACAATGTAAACAAAACTAGGGTGATAATAGATTGGAAAAATCATAACCTTTGGAATACGACAATGGGGTGAGTGAGAAAAAAATATTTTTGAAGGTAACAATAGAAGTAGGGTTTAGTGTTTTTTTCATAACTTATGTGTATTATTTATTATTTCTTTTGGGAGATGTATACCGAGAAAACATGAATTTCAAATGAAGTGTGTGCACTAACATCTATATTTGTAATTTTGTTTAAGGTTAAAATTGTAATAAATTTTTCTTTCATTAAATATGTGCACATGGTGGAAATAGAAGCTCCAGATAAAGTGCTATCGTGTTATACTATAAGGGTAAATGGGTTTTGCCCTTTTCTCTTTTTAATATTTACAAATACAATAATGAACTATGTTGCACACCATTGAAGGTATAAATAATGACATGATTTCTATCTCTAACAACTTAAAAACATTTTTTGAACTAGCGGTGATCAAACATAATATTGGAGCAAACAATAAATCATGCTATAATTGAACGAAATTGTACAAAGAGTTTTTCCAAAACTTGACACACATTAAGTTTTAAATAATAAAAAAAATGGAACAAGATAATAATCATAAACTAGTTGCAAATAATCTCACACTTGTCTACCAACACAACATAAACATATCCTATGACCAAAACAAAAAAAAGAAAATGAAATAAAAAAAAAGAAGATGATTTTATCTCTTACAGAATGGAGCAAGATGATCCACCATCATAGGGAACAGAGGTGATGCCTACAAGCTGGCATTCCTTACAACAAGGAGGAAAACATATAGGTTGAGGTTGAGGTTGAGGTTTTGTGTCTTTCTTTGGTGGACCAACACTGATTAGTTCTACTACTTTTCCAGTCTTTCTCACTTGGGTTGTCACACAAACTGGATCAACATTTCCAATTACAGTTAGGGTCCCCTTTTCAGCATCCACTGATACTTGATCTATACCTGTTCAATCCAAATAACCTCATGTATAATTATATATCTTAGTTCATAATTTAAAACTGTGCTTGGATCATGGATTTTGATAGAGATTTGGAAAGAAAAACGAAAAATGCATGTAAAACGTGTATGAAATGTAATTATATTTCATTCATATTTCACTCATATTTTTCCTTCCTTTTTGTAAATATCCATTCAAATTCATAATCCAAACATAGGCTAAAAGAAAATTTGTTAAGGGTTTTAAAAAATGGGTGAGAATTAGAATATGTTGAAGCTCATGCCTGTAAGTTTTGTAACTGCCTTCAACACCTCTGTTTTGCATTTCTGGCAGTGAATGCCAACCTTCAACTCTATTTTCTGCAAGGGGAAGAGATAATCTTCAGAAAATATGTACAGAATCTGCTACAAGAATGATAAGGCAGTGACATTTATATAATTAACAGCTAACTTGATGGATTTTTTGTTTTAAAATGATAAGCCCATAATACTGTCACATCATTATGTATAAATTTTTTTATATATTTTTTCTATTTGTATAGTATCACTCAGTATTGTATTGTACAGAAGTATAAGAATATGAACAGGTCGGGACAAAATTTCAGATACCCTTGTAAGGAAACAAAAAAAAGATGAACATGAATTGAAGGAACTTGAATAAACATATCAAAGCTTCACCAAAATTTAGTTGATTTAGGGTTGAAGATGGAACATTTACCTTCATGGAAGTGCAAAGCAAGAAGGTGAATTGAACTATATTATCTTCCCAAAGCTCAATGTAGAAATCTTTCGAAACCTATTTGTAGGAATCAACAAAAGAAATTAGTAAAGAAGGCTTCTTGAAGTTTTTTTTCCCACCCTTTTATGCATGGAAATTAAGCGTTAAGGCTATGATGATCATAAGGGAGCAAAGTATTGTGAATTAAATATCAAAGCAAGTGGAAGCTCATGATTGATCAGCAAAACAGTTGGTGTTTGTTGTATTGTATGGCACGTGGTTGACCAACCTTTAGATTAGAAAATTTTTGGAAGGTAGTTTTTTTTTTTTAAATAATAAAATAAAATAAAAATTATGATGTGATCAAATCATCTTTCAAAATCAGCTCATGGTAATTCGAAAAAGTACGAGGACAGGAATTCCAAGGGCCAGCTCTTGCTAGAATATGAAGTAAACATCAAAAAGATTATGAAATTGTCAACATAATGATAAATTTACATAATTATTATACAATCATTAGATATATAACAGAGATTCTCTATTACAACTTTATAATGATATGGATCTAGCTCCGTTTAAAACCGAGAGAGTGGGTGTTATTGAAATGATTAGTTATAACAACTAATAAGAATATAGGATTTAATGTGAAATGAAAGGTTGAGTTGCTGACTAAACTACAAAACATTACTTTAAACAAGTCTCGTCACTAAAATATATGACCCTTCGAATACTACTGTCCTTCATATCCATACCATAACCATGTCTTGCATTGTATAGATATTGCAGTTCCAACAAGTTACAATGGAAAAGCTCTACCAGTTTGATAAGGGTGCTTCTGATTTGTTGGCTAGAAAACCATATATGTATTGGTTAGGGGGAAAAAAATTTGAAATTGAAATTGAAAATCTGCTTATAATTGGAGAAAATTTTGAGTACAACTGGATAACCACCCAATTGGTGGGAGATTTTCCCTCATGGGGTAAATAATAAAGGGGCCAATGTAGGAAAGAAATTTTTAATTACATATTGCTCTTAGATTAGGGTTGGTTGAAATATGATATCGCTCCATGTGGAATCTTTTGTCAAAATTTGGACAGACATTGATAATTGGGACAAATTAGGTACAATTAGATACTTTAAGAAATAAATTAGATTAAAAATTAAAATTAAAAAATTCAAGGATCAAAATTTTGAGCTTGCTTGTATTCTTGGTCTTAATGTAGATGTCATAGCGGTTGGTTTGTTAAAAAAATTTGAAATTGAAATTTGAAAATCTACTTATAATTGGAGAAAATTTTGAGTACAACTGGATACCACCCAATTGGTGGGAGATTTTCCCTCATGGGGTAAATAATAAAGGGGCCAATGTAGGAAAGAAATTTTTAATTACATATTGCTCTTAGATTAGGGTTGGTTGAAATATGATATCGCTCCATGTGGAATTTTTTGTCAAAATTTGGACAGACATTGATAATTGGGACAAATTAGGTACAATTTGATACTTTAAGAAATAAATTAGATTAAAAACAAAAATTAAACACCGACAATGCAAATCAGTGAATTCAACACCGACAACCACATCATCAATAGAAAAAAGAGTTCATAAATAGTGGTGCAGCTCAAGTTGGTCAAAGGGATTGCCAATCCTAACTTGAATTGTGTTCATAAATCCACTCAACTCTTCATCCGAGCTTGTCTACCCAAGCTTAGCCTAAACTCAATAAATTAAACTGTTTGAAATGTCGACGAATTTGAGTCTTAAGTGTTTTTTTGTTTTTGTTTTTTTCATTGCTAGGCTATTTATATTTCTGGAGTTGGACCTTATTAACACTATTTTGACAACATCACAAGTAGTATGAAACATAATAATCTGCATTCCACATAATTTATATACTTGACTTATTTATTTATATATGTAATTTGGGATTCATGTTATTCAAGTTGCCCAGTATATCTATTCAAGTTAGGTCTAAATTTAATTCAAACTTGTAAATTGTTGTCTATACTTGTATCGAATTAATATATATATATATACACATGTTGGTCAACCGTTAACAATTAAGAAAAATTAATTGAGACGAAGCCTTAAAATTTTGTGATGTATACCATGTGACGAAAAAAAAAAAAGAAGCCTGATCATTGGGGTGCAAGTTGTGTGATTGAAATCACTACAAAAAATTAAGGTTTTAGAGACCAAAATTTAGAGATAAAATTATTTTTCAGAGACCAAATATTTTTGTTGCGAAAGTGTCGTTATTATATTTTTAGCAACGAAAATTAGACATTAGTGATGAATTATCATCTTTTTGGGACCAAATTTTTTGTCTTAAAAAATAAACCATTTTGAGACTAAATTATTTTGTCCCTAAAAGTCTATTTATTAGTGACATTTTTAAAATTGTCAGTTTTGACTTTTCGGGACGGCCTTTTAGCGACTATCCTCATGACGATAGAAATTGATCCCTAAATGTCTTTTGCAACAAAATTTACACTTTTAGAGATCAAAATATTTGGTTTCTAAAATTCTTATATGTTGTAGTGAAGGTTAAGAAGCAAGTGAAAGGTCTTGATTAGTAGGTCTTAGTTATAAGTTGGTTCACCAAATATTAGATTAGAAAATTCTTGACAATTAAGAAGGGTTGAAATCCTCTTCCAAAAACAAGCTCTTGGCCAACTCTTCCTATATAGGACAAGGACAACAGAATCAACAGTGCAACTTTCAATGGGAGAAAGAGAGATGTACATAAGAGAGAGTTTTGTCAACCTCAATATATTCTTAATTAAGGAAAAATTACAAATCAATGGTGTCTTCATAAAATATTTATAAATTTATGAAAAAAATTATAATTTTAATTACTAAAATTGATAAAGTTTACAATAATTTGAATTTCTTTTTAGAAACATGCAGGCACTGGATTGTATTTTTTTCCCTTTAATTAACAATTAAAATTATTTTAGCCAATCTTGTTATTTTAATTGTGTTAATATCATATTTTAGCACGCAATAGGTGTCAAAATATTATATTTTGAGACATCCACTCTAGTATTGCATATGCATTTTTGTAGCACGATTCAATTGCTACATACAATGTAATTAATGTAATTGGAGTGAGGAGCTACTACAACTATTTATTGCAGCTTAAATGAGCTTATCATAGCTGATTTTAATTTAAAAATTTATATCAAACGGTTTGATATAATTTTTACTTACATTTTATTAGGACTAAAAAAACTTACTAAAGAAAAATAAAATAAAATAAAAATCCCAGTGTTGGCTTTGTATTCAATTCTTTGTAGCTTAAATTTTTGGATTTACATAAAATTTCTTAATTTATAAATTGTGACTTTATTTTGTTTGGTTTTGAGTTCAATTTTATTTTTTATTTTTTATCTTTAGTGATTTTTTTATTTTTTATTTTAGTCTTTTTTTAGATGCACTTAACTTAGATATATTCCAACAGTAAAATGTTTGTAAAAAATATTTTTTAATTTTTAGAGAATTTTTCACAAATATTTTACTTTTTAAGTATATCTAAATTCAATGAATTTAAAAATTAAAAAATTATTTAAAATATTAAAAAAGTTTACTAATGATGAAAAATAAAAATAAAAATAAAAATTGAAAAATCTAGAAATTCCCTAGATGTTGATTTGTGATTATGTATCAATTTTAAGCAGAATATAACAATCCCAATCAAACAATCAAGACAAAGAAACACAACGATTTAACGTGGAAAAACCCACAATTGGACACCTCCAACTGTGATCAAAAAACCACGGGCAACAGCCACAAGAACAATCCACTAAGAAGATTTAAAGGAATTACACAGGTATACTCTCAATTACCTAGCGAATCCACAACGCCTAATTGAACCAACCTCTATGTGCCTCTTCCAACCCCATCTTCACCACGGAATTGTCTTTCTAATGAGCCACTCCGGATTCCACCAAAGCTTCAGGCTCGAATTCTTCAGAATCCACAACTGAAGAATAACTCTCTCTGTCTTCCCCCGGGGGTGGGAATTCCTGGCGGGGGAGGAACTTGTAGCGAAGCAGATGCTCCGGTTTGTTGCTGTAACCTTACGATTAACTCTGCTTGTTCATTCACAACCGTGGCTTGCTGCTTGGCGAACTCTGCTGTCGGACAGCATCCTGCTGCATCATTTTCATACTCTCTTGGAGTTGGCGCACCATCTCCTCTAAATTGGCCATACTGTTCTGATCTGACTGAATTATCGATGTTATGTTCCCTTTCTGTGGGAGAAACAGAACCCCGATCCCTACTGTACTCGGGTGGGGTAGACAAAGCCCTCTGTACTGACGCTGAACTGATATCCTCTGCCTAACTGCCCTCCGTCTAGTAACCGGGGGTAGAGAGGGTACACTGGTTGTCCGTCTACCAGATCCTCAGATCGATGGGAGCCGACGACCTCTAATCCAGAAGTGCTTGGGAATATCTACTGGGTCAGAAGCAATTGTGCTCGACTACCTAGTAAAAAGATAAATAAAGTAAATAAATAAACGGGCAATTGAACAGCGTAACAACGTAAATAAACACAAACACGCCGTTGGGTGTCAAAATAAATTGCCCACAAGCTGGGATGTACTGTTCCTTAATCACTGATCACCGTTTCCAAATTGCTGTCGCCAAAGTCTAAATCTGATACCATAGATGACTGATTCCCAAAAACACTGATGCCCGCAGGCCTGGCACTCAAAACTTGCGAGCTGATATGTGTGTTCCCCTGCATAGATACACTCTAAACCACATGAAGTACAAGTAAGAGGCCAAAACACCCCTATAGAGGGGTAGGGTTTCCCTGTCCTATTTGTCAGGAGCTAGGGTTTCACTATGCACGCAGCAGTTTCAAACAACCTATAATCGGGTAAGCAACCTGTCCTAATTTGGAATGGTCACTATGGATTTCGATTATGCACTAGGTCGAATGGTCGAAAAGGGTGCCCTGGTAAAACCAGGGTTTGTGTTCCCATACTGTCAGAGCCCACAAACCGGTCAGCCTTATGGCATGCTTTGACAAAGTCAAGCCTCCGGCAAACCGTTCAGGAATGGCAGATGGCAAACACGGTGTCCTAGGGCGCACAATGCACATGCAATGCAAAGAGATACATAAATGAAATCAAAATAGGATATCACGAGTTCTAGTCAA